TCACCAGAGCCAGAGGGGAGAGCAGAACAGGCAGACTGATGAAGTACACTGCTGAGGGGAGCAGCAGGCGGCAGGAGAGGTCTGCGCGCCATGTGGGACCCTCGCCCCGCGGACGGGGATCGAACCGGTGCTGCAGAGGCTGCAGGCAGCTTCCCAACCCAGTGCTCAACCGCTGCACCACCGGGGAGGCCCTGTTTGGAAAGTTTTAATTCAAAAAATACTAGAGAAACTTCCCCCCTCTTTCCTTATAGTGACAAAAAGTGATATCAATAGATAACATGTACTGTTTCTTCCAGCTGAAATAAATAGCCTTAGAATTCCACAGGGATTAAATTATGACTAAGAAAATTTAAGTCACTGTGCCATCCCACAATTCTCCTTGGTTTGTTCATTTTAAGCTTTACAGGAGCCATGTTTTCTGCACTTTTGGCCTGTTTCTACAATTGGTTAGCATTGGATAGGCTTGTAGATCCACATGTTCATTGACACCAAATATGCGAAAGCACATTTTAGAGAAACCATCTCTTTTAATCATTCCTTAAGAACTCTTCAGTCAGAAGGAGAAATACAAACACTGAGTGAGTTCACTTATATAGAATACAGATAAATAAAACAAAGGAAGTGACCAAACCAAAGCAAACCTCAGAAGTAGGACTGCAGAATTGAGGCTACTAGAGGGGGAGGAAGGGTAGGAGTGAGAACAAAAGGGGGACACCATAGTCCATAGCAAAGAACTACTGGGTGTTTTGATGGTGGCTGTGGTGTAGCAACAACATCTGAGGAGGAGTGAAGCTATTCCCTAAGCCATATACAATGTTATAATCAAAGTTAATGCAATAAAGGATAACAATAAAAAGGAGCTCAAAAATTAAAAATTCAATTTACATTTTAAATTATCTAAGTGTTTTCATCCTAAATAAGGTATTGTGAATTTACTGGTAGTGCAAATTTTGGCTAGCTTCCTTTGGGTTTTTTTATAAATAGACAATAAAAACTCCAATAATTTACTATCATTGCTTTACTTGTGTATTTGTGTGTGTACATGTACAGTATTGTGTAATATTGCATGATTACTGAATTTATGAAAGACTATACTAATTAAATCAAGAATTGCAAGGACAATGTCAGTGCATTCTGAACCAAAATACCAACAACATGGTCTAAAAATTACCTGAATGTATCTGAGGAAAAGAAAGGAAAATATTTGAAATAAGGTTTGTTATGGTAAATCCAGGGTGTGTATACTTACTGAAGGCAAAATCACTGTTATCATTATGAGAACAAACTGTGTTTATAACTTCCACACTATTATTGAATGAGATTAATGTCCTCCCTTCCATTTCATAATGTGCGTATTTTCTTTAGCTTTTGACTTTTTGTTGATTCTTTAATGATATTGTTAAAAAAAGAAAAACACAAAACATCCTGAAAGCAAGCACAGCATGCGTAATAGTTTGGTATGTTAAAAATACAATAATAACTCTTTATTGGATAATGGAAATGATGGTTATAAAGAGTATTGATTGAAACTTTGGGATCATCTGATGGGTTTGTTGTGATGACTTATATTAGAAAAACAGTTATCAGTTATTTATATTATAGGATAACTTTCAATACTTTCTAAATGTATGAGTTGGTGAAAAGCAATTACGTTACTTGCGTGCATTTTTTCTATTTTATGTAAAACATTTGCAACTATTAAATGTATCTATAATGTGCAGAAAAGTGAGACACTTCAAAATCTAAGATTTAATCAAAATAGGAAATAAATATGAATTAAAAGAAGTTTAAAAATAGCTTTTGATATCTATAAGGATGCTTTCTTTTTAAAACTCTCTGATGTGTACCTATCAAGGTCAAGAAAAAAGAACAAAATCCTGGGCCTCCCTGTTGGCGCAGCGGTTGAGCACTGGGTTGTAAAGCTACCCTCAGCCTCTGCAGCGCTGGTTCGATCCCTGGCCACCAGGTGAGGGTCCCACATGGCACGCAGACCTCTCCTGCCACCCGCTGCTCCCCTCAGCAGTGTATCATCAGTCTGCCTGTTCTGTTCCCCGCTCTGGCCCTGGTGAATTCTTTCACCCTCCCGCGCTTCTGACTGTACCCAGTGCTTTTAGAAAGGAAAGAAAAGAAAGAAAGAAGGATCATTTTTTTTAGTAATAAAACTCTGTGATATATATGATAATCCTTCTTACCTGCCAAAAGGAACAAATATAGAGTTTTGTCCTGGATCATTATCAAGGTTGCCTTGAGAACAAAAGCACGCATTGTGGCCCAATATCAAAATAAGGCCTTTTAATCAAACAACTTCCTGGCATTTTCACACATATAAATAGGAATTTTCATTCAATTATTATATAATGCTAGATTTTATTAAGCCATTGCACAAAAAGCATTTTGAGTTGGCCACTATTTGGTTCTGAAATTTTTTATTGTCAAATAACTAAAGGACAGTGTTCTCATTTCAAAGTTCTATGTTGCTGTACAGGAAGAATAAACATCTTATTTTTATTTTTCATGTTACATAAACAGTTAAATAATCAATGACAATGAAAAATATATAATTGACATTATTACATTATTAAGATACATAGTGTATTAGTCCAAATCATTTTTGCAACTCCACATTTTAAATGTGGTACTCTAAAATTTAAAATTTGATGCAAAAAACAGAATTTCTAAAATAGGTAGGACATTTGCTTCTATTTTGCTAATGAAGAAAAGGTGTAAGTAATAGAGTAGAGCAAACAGTATATATTGGCCTAAGAAAAACTCAGTCTCAATTCTAGAGCTTGAATATAATCTTTTTCCTTCTAGAACACTCTGAGTGTTTGACCTTTGTCACTTCCTGGATCCTAATCTTTTTAACCAAGTTATACTAAACCAAGTTATGATAAAAAATGTAGATAACTTATTTAATTATGGTTTGCATAAAATTGAAAAATGTGAAACCATTAGAAGACTACCACAAGGAAAACCTGTATTAATTTTCTGTACTTGCTATTCCACAACCATAATTGAAATGTCAAAGTACTAAAAACAAATATTTGACCCAACTTTCCTTAAGACACAGAATATTAAAAACAGGAATTTTCAGTTACTGATAAAATCATATCAGAAAACAGTCTTTTAAAACCAAGAATAATCAGAGACCTAATTTCACAAGTGCCATCATATGAAGCACTTACTTACTAGCTCATCACAGGATTCAGAGATATGACAGTAATTACCTAAACAACATTTTAGATGGCATGACTTCCAAACATCTGAATGAGGCAATAAGAAAGCATAATTTCACAATTACACAGTTACTTTGGTAGTTCTTTACCCTATTTTCACAATGTCCACTTTTTCTAACAAATGCTATTGTGGGCTATCTGTACAATGAAGTGCCAGTGCCAACTAGAAAATATGATGAGAAAGAGGAAAATATTTGAGAAAGAGGAAGCAATGACCTACCATCTGGTTTTACTTAAGGATTTGCTTACAGCTTCTTTTGGGAAGAATAAACAATGAACACACTTTGAGATTGTCTGCAAAAGAGACTTTGGGGCCAACACAGTGACACTGTACATTGTCAAGAACAAAGATAACATTTGAAAAGCTGACATAGGGAAAACGGTGTTAGCAAAATGGCCACAGAGGCATTTTCTACCGTCTTCCCCACAAAGAACAATGATTTTGATAATCGTCCATGCATAACCGTGACTTTTTGGAAGTTTGAAAGTATGGCACACAAGTTCCAGCCTGCTATTGGTACAAAAATAAATATCAGGGCTTCCCTGGAGGTACAGGCCGTTGAGCGCTGCACTGTGAAGCTGTCCGCAGCCTCTGCGACACAGGTTCTATCATGGTTGGCTGGCGAGAAACCCACTTGGCGTCGCAGACCTCTCCTGTCTCACCCACTGCCCCCTTCAGCAGTGTATTTCAGTCAGTCTGCCCGTTCTGTTCCCTGCTCTGATCTAGTGAATCCTCTCACCCTCCCGTGCATCTGGCCTGTACCCGGCTCTTGTATAAATAAATAAATCTTAAAAAAAAAAGTCTGCCAGTTCTGTTCCCCGCTCTGTCTCTGGTGAATCCTCTCACTCTCCCGTGCATCTGGCCTATACCCCAGTTCTTGCATAAATAAATAAATACATCTTTAAAAATAAATAAATAACAGAAATTGAACCCATTCAAGAGGGTAAGAGGAATAGCTTCATTTTACTCAAGCCAGCCCTCCCCCAAGTTGGTAAAACTCAGTGCCAAGAGGCACTTTCTTGGTCTGTGGGGGAATATGAAAGTATGGAGTGAGTGTACAAAAGAGCTTTACTCTTATAATATTTGCAGGATCACACTGGCATCCTCCCTGGTCCACATGTTGGATGACCATGGGTCATATATGGCAGTGCCACAAATATTTTGAGGAAAAAGAAATTTTTGGAAGACAGAAGAGTTGACAGTGTGACCCTCAAATTTTTTGTTTTGTCTTATATATATTGTGTGCATTGCAGTACACAATAACCACATCAGTTTGCAGTTTACAGATGATAGGATGTCATATACAGAATTAATTTTATAAAAATAAGGCTTAACATATAAATGAATTTACTTGTTAAAGAGATGGAGAATATTCATAAAATCATTCAACATACAGAGGTTTTCCCATTATATCACGGAAGAGATTTAATGAATTGTAGAAATGAAAAAAATATAATTTTATTTCACTTCAAAGACATTCTTTAATGACTGACTTTCTATGACAAAATAGGACTACAAGTTGTATAATTTCAGAGAATGTTGATGTACATAATAAGTTAGAATTGTAAAGACTTTCTGAAACATGAGTCAAAAGTGAACTAAACAAGTGAATTGTATGGTAGTGGTTCAGTGGTGACTTGTTTGCGGGTACACTTGTTTGTGGGTACAAGTATTACCACTATAGTGGTAATACTTGATGAGGATATCCAACATTACCTCAATTAAAAATAAGGAAATAAAATGATATATAAAAGAAGCGAATTTTGAAAAATTAAAAAATAATTTTATAATTGTAAGATTTTTATTGGCGAAAATGACACAAACACAGCATTTAGAAGAACTTCTCAGCACACTCTAAATTGGGAGGCATTCTTTTCAGTTTATTTAAAATTATTCCAAAGATTTTCCATAAGTTTTAGGCTTTTGCTGGAAACAGAATTGCAAACTGTAGAACACCTCATGTTGTATAAATCACAAATTTATTACCAGGTTTCAACCGAACTCTTTCGTCCTACATGGTGGAAAGGCTAAATTAATATATGATTTAGTAAGCACAGGAGAATTTATATTTTTTGATTTAGACCATTAATTTCAGTACTATGTTTTGTACCTTTGTAATCACCACAGACAAGTATTAAACAAATTTGCTATTACATACTTAAGTCCAAATCAAAAATGTTTAACTTCAACTTTTAGAAACCCTAAAGGCATTTCACTAACATTTTCTGATTCCTAGTATCTCTATAAAAATGTTTTAATGAGAGTAAATGCTGTATTATATACTTAATAATGCAGTATGTATTATTTATTCTACATCTCCTTTTCTATTTACATTCATTTCACAATGTGCATAATAAATCTGAGCAACATATATTTGTGTAACTTAGAAAGAAACACATGCTTGTGTAATATCGAATTGTACTCAAAACTTAAGTGTTTTGAATGATTTGGAGCTGATATTTAGAAGATCAAATTTTCACAAAAATGAAGTGTGGTAACATGTTATTTTCCATATCAAGAAAGATTATCAGTGAACTTTGTAAATATAAAAACATCTGAATATTCTAGGAGTCACAAGGTATGATTAATCTGTAATGACAGGTTTTCAGCTTAAAGAAAGACACCTACGCAGGACCACTGCCAGTGAAGCTACATGGCGAAGGGTGAATAACTGAGATCATTCAAAAGAAAAAAGATCAGAAATCAACCTTTCTCTGTGGTTTTGCTGATAATTTTACATGTAGATAGGTATATAATTACACTGTCTGCTAGTTTACTGATTAGTAAAATTGGAAAAAGTTAGAATACTTACCTTAAAGCATTGAATGAAGACAAGTTGAAGTAAAGCCATGTAAATTACATAGATAGTAATTGATACATAGCAAACTGTTAATATAACAGGTATTAGTATTGTGGCTTCTTATGTTCTTACAGATATTTCTCTATACTTTCTTTTCATTCCTAATTCTACTCTAGTTCTTTAAATTTAAGATCTATGTTTTATTCTTTGTTATTCTTAAAGCATATTATTTATACATAGGAGGTATTTAAAATTTTGATTAGTTTGATTTTATGATAATTTCTTATTGTTTTTTCTCTCTGAGAATAGCTAAAGCATAATGATGTGGATGATACTTTGGTACTATATATTTATTGATTAACTTCTTGATGCTGTTTTGGATCATTAGTATTAAGATATAATACTAAAAAGATTATGATTAACAATTTATCTAAAAGAAAATTATTCTAGGACAATACATTTCTCATAACTCCTTGCACAAAAATGTCATTGATCTTAAATTACACTGGTATCATTCCAAGCATATAACAAAGAGAAATTAAAGTTTTTTAGGAAGATATTTTGGTTCTAATCCATTCATCTTCAAGACTCCCTTAAATAACTTCCTTGGCAAGTCCAATGACCAAGGACTTGATTTTTAAAAATAAAACAGGTAAAATTATGGATTTTAAACTTTGAGAATAGTAAAAAAACACTGTGGAAAGCAATTAAAACCACAGATAGCACTGACTTTTCTTTTGCACACTTTGAAATTCCTAGAAAGCTTATTGCCAACAACTATTATTAGAAAATCAGGAAACACACATACAGAATTTTCTTTCACTACATTTTTTGAAGACTTTTTTCCTTCTAAGTGCCATTTCATGGACGAAGAGTGAATATTTCTTAGATCTCTGCACGGAAGTGCAGTGTAGACCCTTTCATTTTCTTCTGATAATCTGCTTCAAATTGCTCATACTGGGCTATAGTGAAATGATTCTTCCAGTCTCCTGAAACACCTGAAAAGTGAAAAGATAAATATGAGACAATTTTATTTTATTTTTTTTAAGAGTTATTTATTTATTTATACAAGCACTGGGTACAGTTAGAAGTGCGGGAGGGTGAGAGAATTCACCAGAGCCAGAGTGGGGAACAGAACAGGCAGAGGGACTGAAGTACACTGCTGAGGGGAGCAGCGGGCGGCAGGAGAGGTCTGTCACACCATGTGGGACCCTCCCCAGCGAGTGGGGATTGAATCCGCACTGCAGAGGCTGCAGGCAGCTTCGTAGCCCAGCACTTATCTGCTGCACCACTAGGGAAAGCCCAACACAATTTTAAAACATCCTTCTACAATCAGTTTCCCTATGAATCAGTACACATTTCTTTTGAAATCTTAACTTACAATGTCATATCTATTCCATAATTCTAGTCCTCACCTTTTACTACTATCTTTCCTGGAATCCTTAACATTCTTAGTTTATTATAATTGCTATGAATTTTTCCAGTATCTTATGTTTAAGAAATAATCCCTTAAATAGCTTTAAGAAATGTCACAGGAGAAAAACCAGTGTCTCAAAATCTTTATTCTTTGGTTTCAAGAGCCTTGCTAACAATGATAAAGATAATTTTTAAGTCAATTTAAAATTATATTTTCTCAGGCCTCCCCTGGTGGCGCAGTGGTTGAGTGCTGGGCTGCTAAGCTGCCCGCAGCCTCTGCAGAGCCGGTTCAATTCCCAGCTACCAGTGAGGGTCCCACATGGAGCACAGACCTCTCCTGCCACGCCCACTGCTCCCCTCAGCAGTGTATTTCGTCAGTCTGCCTGTTCTGCTCCCTGCTCTGGCTCTGGTGAATTCTCTCACCCTCCTCCACTTCTGACTGTACCCAGTGCTTGTATAAATAAATAAATAAATGAATGAATAAATAAATAAATCTTTAAAAAAAAACTATTTTCTCACTTCAAGTGGTGATTTCTGAAAAATGTTCTATTATGACATAAGACTTAGGGCCTCCCCTGGTGGCACAGCGGTTGAGCGCTGGGCTACGAGGCTGGCCGCCATCCTCTGCAGCGCCAGTTCGTTCCCCAGGCACCAGCGAGGGTGCCACAAAAAAAAAATAAATAAATAAATAATAAGACTTGTAAATCCCTGAGTCCAAGAAATTAAATATATGTTTTTATTATAAGATTATCCAAAGTCCAAAATAGCTAACCTATCTAAAAGTAGAAGGAAGGATACAGACATATCATTTGCAATGACTATCTGACTAAAAACAAAACAAAACAAACAAAAAAAAAAACTGTGTCATTTTCCTAGACTATCTCACTGGGTAACCCAGAAGACATATTTGGTAGCCCAGTACTTAAGGAACATTGGGAGGAAAACATGCCAAAATAACTTTCTAATCTGTCTCAGGATCTCTCAACTTTGGTATTTTATTTATTCATTTATGTTTCTGCTGTTGGTTTTTGAAAGCAGAAAATCAATTGTCCTGTGCATGGTAGGATATTTAAGAGAATCCTTGACCTCCACACATTAGATGCCCCTATGTACTAGAAATCCCAAGTCATGACCATCAAAACTGTCTCCATATGTAGGCAAACATGCCCTGGGCAGAAAATTCACACCTGGTTGAGATCCACATATTCCTAGCAAGACTTATCCATGGCATATTTCCTAACATTCTAAAAAAAAAAAAAATCTAAAATACACAGACACATTATAATTAAATATACCCTTAATGGTGCCTTTATTGTCTCTCACCAAAATATCATTATCTCCAAAACTATCTCAAATTGTATTAAGAATTATTTACTCTCGGGCCTCCCTGGTGGTGCAGGCAGTTGAGGGCAGTGCTGTGAAGCTGTCCACAGCCTCTGCAGCACGGTTCGATCCCCGCTGGCCTCAGAGCAACCCACACCGTAAGCAGACTTCTCCTGTCTCGCTTGCTGCTCCCCTCAGCAGAGTATTTCATCAGTCTGCCTGTTCTGTTCCCTGTTCTGCCTCTGGTGAATCCAATCAGCCTCCTGGCGCATCTGGTCTGTACCCCAGTTCTTGTATAAATAAATATTTTTTTAAAAAAATAATTATTTACTCTCTTCTTCCCTGTAAGATTATACATCACTGACTGTTGTTATATGATGAGTGATTTCCTCTTGCCTCATTAATTTTTTTAATATTTTATTTTATATAATTCTTACATCATTTTTCATTTTTGCACTATGTATGCATTATCATTTTGGTTATATTCCCCATACAATTGCACCCCCCTTATTTTGACCCTAGTCCTTCCTCTCCCCTTCCTTCTCCCCCCACCCCACCATGGTGTGTCTCTGGTTTATAGTTGCTTGTTGATTTTGATTTTTACTTTGTATTAATTAGTCTTTTTCCTGGTCCCTTATTTAGGTTTTCTAAATTCCTGCTATGAATGAGATCATCCAGTATTTTTCTTTTTCTTTCTGACTTATTTCGCTAAGCATGATCCCTTCTAGCTCCATCCATATTGCTGCAAACTGTATGTGTTTTTTTGATTGCTGAGTAATATTCCATTGTGTATATGTACCACCTCTTCTTGATCCAGTCATCCATTTTTGGGCATTTGGGTTGTTTCCATAGTTTAGCTATTGTAAATAGTGCTGCTATAAACATAGAAATGCCAATGACCTTTGGAATTAATGTTTCTGTGTCATTTGGGTAAATACCTAAGAGCTGATGAGACTCAACAAAACAAAGAAAATAATCCAGAAAAAAATGGGCAGAAGAACTAGAAAGAAACTTCTTTAAAGAGGAAATGCAAATGGCCAACAGACATATGAAAAAATGTTCAACATCACTTGTAATCAGGGAAATGCAAATCAAAACTTACAAGGAGATACCATCTTACAGCAGTGAGAATGGCACATATTAAAAAAAACTAGCAACAACAAATGTTGGCGAGGGTGTGGAGAAAAAGGAACTCTCCTGCATTGCTGGTGGGAGTACATACTGGTCCAATCACTATGGAGAGCTGTGTGGAGATTTCTTGACCTACTAAAGATAGAGCTTCCATACGATCCAGCAATAGCCTCATTAATTTTAGGCTTGCATTTTTTATATGCTTTGAATTTGTACTGTGCAAAATACAAACCCATCTAAATAGAAATTTCAAAAAACCTCAAAAGTTTCTACCACCTCTCTAGCTTTTTATCTCTACAATGATATTGCAAATATTCAACAAATAGGCAGTTTTTTCACTGTTTCAGAAAAAGAAGATAGAAGTACCTGGGCCCATGAGAGACCAGCAAAATTGATCAGAGTTAAAAACAATTAAGCAAAACTGTCAGTCACCAGTGGCTAACATCCTTCAAAATCAAGTAAAAAGTAACCTTGCACTATTAAGTCACAGAGATTGAGGTTATTGGGTTATTTTATGGCAAAGCAGAATAATACATATATAACTAAAAGAATCTCTCTCTTTCCTATACATTCTCTTGCTTGCTTATCTCCCTCACATACATGAACTTGTACAATTCATACAACAAAGATTTATTAAAGGAATATTTCATGTAGGATGCTAGCGATAGGTTGAGTTCAATGCTGAAGATGCAACAATTTACAATAACAATAGCCTCAAAAGTTGACACTTTCCCCATTAGATCAGTATATCTAAGATCACTTAAACTAACTACCAACCACAGCAAAACTTCTAATATGAAGAATATCTAGATAATTCAGACAAATAAAGGACATTCTTTGATACAGTAGTGGTTGCCAAGTCTTGTGCTTATTGTTACATAGATTCTTGAGCAAACATTTCTCATAAAAACACCTATCTTATATGCTAAATTTGTATCAATAATGACTTTCTTGGTCACAAATTATTTCCTCTAAGATTATTTTTTTCTAAATTTTTCTCTCTCCAGCATATGTCTTTCCATTTTCTATAATACCACTCTTATCTACACACCCACAGTGTCCATGATGTAGCTGGCAAACAGAATAGAAACTATATATGATGTTCTTACCCTTTCTCATGAAGGGAGACACAGAATGATCCATATCCCATTCTGGTGTTGTGGTATAATTAGCACTAGGATTCTTCTTCATCACATCAAAAGAGGTGTGATAAACTATTTTATTCATGGTTTCCTCTGGCAGATCTTTCTCTAGAAACTTTAATAGTTTCTGAATTTCACGTTTTGGGTTCTAAAGAAATTATAAAGATAAAGGATTACTTTTATGTAACATAGTATTAGAAGACCTATGGAGAGCAAGTAGACAAAAAGTAGAAATAAAAGCTATACAAATCACAATAGAAGTATTTTTTTGTTTTTGTACACAACATGATATTATATATAGTAAAACCTAAAGGAGCCACCAAAAAACTGCTAGTGCTAATAAAAATGTTCAGTAAATTTTCAGCACACAATTTTTTTAAAATATCAATTGCTTCAATACACTGATAATAAACTATTAAAAAGGGAAATTAAGGAATTAATCACTTTTATAATTGTATCATTTCTAGGAACACATTTCACCCAATAGTTTAAAAAAATGTATGCATTGAAAATAAGAATTAAATTTCAAATTAATTAAAGGAGACACAAATACATGGAAAGATATTCCATGCTCAAAATTGGAATAATTAATATTGTTAAGTCAGCTATAGACTCAATGAAATTGCTATCAAAATTCCACAAAATAGAAGACACAATCTTAAGATTTATATAAAACCACAAAAGACTCTTTAGCCCAAGCAAACTTGAAAAGAAGAAAAAAAAAACTAGGGATATCAATCTCCCTAATTTCAAAGCATACTACAAAGCTATAGTGATTAAAACAGTATGGTGGTGGCATTAAAACACATAGAAAAATGAAACAGAGCCTAGAGCCCAAAATAAACCCACATATATGTTGGCAATTAAGTTATAATGAAGAAGCCAAAAGCCAAAGACATATAATGAAGACAAACTTCAATGAATGGTATTCAGAAAACTGAATAGCCACATGCAAAAGTTTGAAGCCAAATCACTACCTTACAACATAGCCCAAATTAAAATGGGTTAAAGACTACAACATGACAACTGAAATCACAAAACTCCTAGAATAAAGCACAGTATTAAATTCCCTGACATTGATCTTGGACATTATTTTTTGGCTCTCCCTCCAAAAGCAAATGTATAAAAAAACAAAAATGAACAAGAGAGACTATAGTAAACAAAAAAGTTTCTGCACAATAAAGAAAACTAACAAGAATGAAAAGGCAACCCATTCATTGGGAGAAAATATTTGCAAATCATATACTTAAGAAGTTTTAATATTGGGCCTCCCTGGTGGCACAGGGGGTTAAGCACTGCACTGTAAAGCTATCCATAGCCTCTGCAGCAGAAGTTCGATCCCCAGCACGAGTTCGATCCCCAGTTCGAAACCCACATGGCTTAGCGGACCTCTCCTGCTTCACCCGCTGCTCCCTTCAGCAGTGTACTTTGGTCAATCTGCCTGTTCTGTTCCTCACTCTGTCTCTGGTGAATCCTCTCACCGCTGCATCTCTGGCTTGTACCCCCATCTCTTGTATGAATAAATAAATCTTAAAAAAAAGTTTTAATATCCAACATATATAAAGTATCAATAGTCAAAGAAACTAACAATCCAATTAAAAAAAAATCAATAGTGGAACTGAAACCAAAGGTACATGAAAATGTGCTCAATATCACTAATCATCAGGGAAATGCAATCAAAAACAGCAATGAGATATTCCTTCACAGTCGTTAGAATGGCTGTTAACAAATAACTAGCCACAACAACTGACAAGATAAATTTATTTTCTACATCCAAGTAGTTTTATTATAGTAGAGAAGAGAAAAAAAAGTACATAAATACTTAGAAGTGGTGATAGATACTATAAAAAGAATAATAGTAGCAAAAGTGTCTTTAATAGATAATAACGAGGTTATATTATTTGAAAATACAGTTAGGAAAGCTCTCCAGGGATAAGCAGTATTTAATTAAGACATAAAAGATAAGATGTTAATTTGAAAACAGTGGGAGAAAATATTCCAAATATGCTCATTTAGTGAGTAGGACCAGATGATATTAGACTAGGTTGGAGAGAGACAGAGACTAAACACAGCTGAACTGTGATTAAAAAAAATAATAAACTCATGCCATTTGCAGCAACATGGATGGAGTTGGAAGAGATTATACTAAGTGAAATAAGTCAGAAGGACAAAAGATAAATATTGAATGGCTTTACTTACATGCAGAATTAAGAAAAACTGAACAAAGAGTCAATAAAAAGATAAAACTTGCCAGCTAACCATAGATATGAGACATACAGCAGGGGAGGGGAAGTCACTGGGGTCAAATTAGAGGGAAAAGCAAAGGACTATGGTAAGAGATCACAGGGGCTATGGTTTGGGGAGAACTATGAGGATGACAGCTGAGGGAAGAAATCAAATAATGTCAAAAAAAAAAAAAAAAAAAAGCAATGTTAAGTGTAGGATCAGGATGGCCACAGTGCAGGTTATCTATGATCGGAGCAGACCAGACCCGTAAAGGAGTCCTGGAGCCCTCGGTGGCTTTCTCAGGCTTTTATTGAGCTTTACATGTATTATGGCAAACAGGTACATGGCAGGCAGGGTGTCAGGGGGCCAGGAGACCACTTGGCCTCCAAGCCCCTGGCAAGTCTTCACTCTGGGCTTCTCCTGCTTCTCTCCTGCTTTTGTTGCTCTCCATTACTACCTCAATATTCCTTCCATGGCCCACAGAAATAAACAAGACAGCTTACAACAATATAACAACTGCAGGTACCCCATCAGGCAGGGCAATCCTAATGGAGGGAGGGCAGAAAAGCCTGAAAAACCATTTACCCTACAGTAAGAAAATAAATAAACTATTAAGTGAATAAATGAAAAATAAATGAAAAATAAAAATAAATACTGCTGAACTCTATAAATCACCTTAATGATTTTATATTTCACATCACAACAGTCACCACAGAGAGATTTAAAGAAAGAGGTGCACACACACTGATTTATATTTCAAGATCATTTTCTCTGAGTGGATGCAAAGAGAAGCAAAATGAGTTAGTCCAGTAAGTCGCCATATTTGCTTGAACTAAAAGGAAGCAACAGTGGCAGAAAGAAGTGAATTGAGTGAAAGATCAATTCCCAAGGCAAAATTAATAGGCTAGCAGGTTAATCATATTTATAGATCAAGAGGAAAAGAATATGTGATACGAAGATGAACCTTAGGTTTCCTTGAAATAAAAAAAATTGTAATTACCACTTACTTCTTTCATGTCTTCATAGAATAAGAACAAAATGCGATAATCTTTCCTTTTCTCCCACCAGCCCTTCACATGGTCATACCATGAACCAAAAGCCACTAAATTGAAAGATTGTTTACAAAATTAATCTTGAATTAATTTACATGAAGTAAATAATTAGTAAATATTATTCCAAGTTGTTATCATCAATATATACACATCAATTGCTTATTAGTTCAAGAAAGAGGGGACACTGGATTAAAAAAAGTATATCAGTAATCCCTATTCTCACTGAATATACAGCATATTAAGAAATAATGAAACAGTTCAGTTATGAGATAAATTGTATCCTCCACCAAAAATTTTTTCCTGAAATCCTAATCCTTAGTACTTCAGAATATGATAGAAATATGAGTTGGGGCCTTTAAAGAGGTAATTAAATTGAAATACAGCCACTGACAGTGGGCCCTGATCCACTATGTTTTTATGAGAAGAGGAATTACAAGACAGGCACCACTGAGGGGAGACCATGTAAAGACACATGTGAAGATGGTCATCTGAAAAACAAGGAGAAAGGTGTCAGAAGACACCCACTCTGGACACAATTGAACTCAGATTTCTAGCAATATAACATGAGAAAATAAAAAAAAAAATGTTGAGGAAAGAACCTACTTTATGGAATGGGTTTGACAGTCCTAGCAAACAAATATAGATTTTGGTAGTATTAAGTGGGTGTTGCTGTTAACAATACCTAAAAGTAAGGAAGTGACTTTTGAATTTTTTTTAAGAAGTGGGGTACAGGCCAGGGTCGTGGGGAGTGAAAAGATTCACCAGAGAGAGCGGGGAGCAGAACAGGCAGATATACCGATACAGACTGCTGAGGGGAGCAGCAGGCGAGACAGGAGAGGCCTGCTGCGCCATGTGGGTTGCTCCCCAGCCAGTCGGGGCCAAATTGGCACCACAAAATGCAGTGGACAGCCTCACACCGCTGTGCTCAAACCCCTGCACCACCAGGGAGGCCCGGAAGTGACTTATGAACTAAGTAATAGGTAGAGTCTGGATGAGCTGTGAGATGAATGTTAGAGAAAAAAATCTAGATTGCCTTGAAGGCACTGTTGGTAAAACTATGAATGCTAAAGGTGGTTCTGGTGGTAGCTCAGAGAGAAAAAAGGCACAGTAGAGAAAAATTCAAGAAATATTTATAAAATCAAAACAATGGCATGAACAGTAAGATAGGAAATCACATGGCAGTAGTCACTGAGCACTTATTAAAAATGACGACTGTAAAATATGTGTCACACATTCCACAAAAATCTCTAAAAGGAAGAGATGACTATGTAATCTGCTTCTTCTACAAAATTCCTAATGCTTTAGTAGAGGAATGGACACATACTAGGTTTATAATAAATACAAGATTTACATTGGGCTTTATTCTTTTTGCAAAAAGGCTTTCCCTTATAGGACTCCAGGATAAAAGAGTTGCACCCACCCTTTCCATTTATGAATTTTTCCAGGAACTCCTCCCAGGTGCCGGGAAGTGGATGTAATTTTGCCATCTGGTAGAAATAATAGTAAGACACCACCACATCCTTAGCGTTCCTTGCTACATAAACGACCTGTTGGGAGATATGCAAAACCATCACTTTGTTTCTATTTAACATTTACAAACACTTGCTTACCTTGACCAGCTGCTCATTTACTCTTCTCCATTTCATGATCTGACTATTTATATCTTTATCCTTACATAGGATATTCACAAGTACATATTGTTTTAATGCAAAGATTTTCCATTTATCATACCCTTGCTTTCTCTTTAGCCTAGAAAAAGAACATCTCTTGTGACATAAAATACCAAAAAAAAAAAAAAAATCAAGGAAAAGTATATCACAAAAATAGTGTTATGTTATTTTGATTAAATACATTGAATTTGCAGTTAAAATCCTTTAAGGTAAAGAAAATCCCATGCTAGCTGGTTTTACTAGTGAGATGAACAAAATATTTAATAATTAAGTAATACCAATTCTAATCACTTTCAGAAAATTGAAGAGTAAAATATCTCCAAATTCATTTTATGTGGCTAACATTACCTTAAGGCTAAAAGGACTATATCATAATGACAAAGACTTATGATAAAATTGAGAACGCTAGACCAATACCTCTCATGATCAAACACAATTTAAAAAATAAAATAAAAAAGCAAATTGGATCCAACAACATATAAAAGACATTACATTACAACTAAGTACAAGTTATTTACGATTGTTTTATCACTTGAAAATTGATGTAACCATATTAGCAGAAAAATAGAAAACCACAAGTTAGGTCTTAGAAAAAAAAGAGATAAAAGCCAAGCACCTTGGGTAAAATCATAACGAAGTAGTAATAAAATGTAATTTCCTCAATAGATAAAGGACATTTATTAAAAAGATCATTATACTTAGCAGTGAAATACTCAATAATCATGTATTAGCCCTACAAGCAAGAGCAAGACAAAACCATATGCTCCAAATACTCCTATTGGGAACTGTATTAGAGGTTATAGCTAGCTCAATAAGGCAAAGAAAAGTAGTAAAAAAAGACATCCAGATTAAGAAAAAGGAAGTAAGTATCTATTTTGTTTACTGACAGCATGAGCTTGAGTACAGAAATATGAATGGTAATTACAAAAAAAGTTAATAGATTGTTAAATGAATTTTATAAGGTTACATTCATTTACTAGCAATAAATATTCATGGGAAAAATGAGTGTATTTATATCAGGCTGTTAGAGAAGAGGGAAAGACAGAGGGGGGATTACTATTACATAGAAATTTTTAAAAATAAATCACTACTTATGTTATATATATTAGATAAATTCTTAGATATTGGATAACTGAATCAACGAAGCCAATATATGTAAACAGAAAGAAAACCTTCATGGCTTTGTGAAAGATGTTTCCAAAAAATTACAAAATATTGTGCTCATAAAGAAAAAAACTGAGGGCTTACCCGGTGGTGCAGCGGGTTGAGCGCAGTGCTGTGAAGCTGCCCGCAGCCTCTGCAGCACGGGTTCGATTCCCGGCCAGTCAGGGAGAGACCCACATATGGTGGCAGATCTCTCCGGCCTCGCTCGCTACTCCCCTCAGCAGTGTCTTCGGTCTGTCTGCCTGTTCTGCTCCCAGCTCTGTCTCTGGTGAATTCTCTCACCCTCCCACACCTCTGGTTAGTACCCAGTTCTTGCATAAATAAATAAATCTTTTAAAAAAGAAAAAAACTGATTCACTAATCACTTTAAAATTAAGACCAACTTTGGAGACATTATTATGAAAGGGAAAAAGAGAAAGACAAACTTTGGGGTTACGGGTAATGTTTATTTGATGCTGACTTCATGGGTATGGTTTCTTTGTGAAAATTCATCAAGCTGTATATTTAGGATTTATGCACTACTTTTTATAAGTTTTATGCTTGAATTAAAATGATTATTTTTAAAAGACTAAAATAATTTATCTATAAAATTATATATAATTCATAATCCATAATATATTGTTTTAAATCCATATTTCTAAATAATATTTGTACTAAATTCATGAAGAAGCAGCTCCTAGGATTATCTAAACATCTATTATTTTCAGACAATTGGTGAAAGAATTTAGACATAATGACATTGTATCTTAGGAAATAGAAAATCTGATAGTTTCTAAATGTTTGGGCACTGTGTGCAATTTTTACCGAGGGCAGTGGAGTCACTGGTGTTATTTTGACATTTGGCTATAGGGTCCAAAATATTATTTCCAGAATGATTTATCAGACATTACAATCTCTTATCTTAATTTCTGCATAAATAGTAAAATAATTTATAACATAAATAAGAAATTTTTAGAAAAAATCTGTACCTTACAATTATTTTTCCAAAATGAAGAAGGAAGAAGTTGAACAGGTAAGTGTGTTTTCACTAATCGAGGAGACTGCATGACTTCCAAATCCTTAACACCTACAAGCACAAAAATTAAACTGCATTATAAATATGGAACCATAAAATTTATTACAATGTGATATAAGACTTTCTAAACATACCTAAAATGGCTCTATGTTGATATGAATTCATGTACTTCTGAAATTTAGTATGAGATAAACAATAATCAATTCTGGTTACTTTAAGCTTGTTTTGTTGCCTACAAATAACCGGGTTTATTAGCTTCATAAGTGTCTATACAATCCTTAATATACAATCATAAGTTATATATGATTATTGGCACAAATACTTTTCTGTTATAGATACTTAAGATTCAACAGTCCAAGTACAGACAGTATCATTTTTTCATGATGCCTCCAAAATCCACAAAAAAATTAGAGAAATTTACTCCTACAGTGAAACTGAACATTAATAAGATATACCATTACAGACTCCTGGGATTATCATCTCCATGAAGGGCACTCGGTTGTATATGGCATCTCGCTTACATTTCTCTGTATCCCCATTGTTATAGATCAAATCCAGTATTTCACTGACCCAGGTTGTTCCTGGAGAGAAAAATAAAATGGATGGATATCTAAACTTTCCTGTCAAAAGAGTATGGGAGTGTTAATAGAGGTAGAGAAATTGTGTAATTATCAAAAACAAAATTATTTCTTCATTTACATCCCCTTTCTTTTTCCTCCCATTTCCTAGAGAAATCTTTAACTAACTTAGACATCTGCATATGTGGGGAGTGTGTATAAAATCTGAAAAATATAATTACAAAAGATTTGAAAAGGAAATCAAACCTGGCGTAGTAAAGAAATATAATGTGGTGGGTGGGACGGTTTGGGGGGGGAGCAGGCAATTTCAATGTGTCTGACCAGCAATTTGAAAATTTTCTATTACTATTATGGAGATTATTTCCTTTTGGGATTGAAGAGCACTTAGTTGAAACAGTTCAACATTTGGTGGAGCAGTGCAGAAAGGAATAATTTCATTGCAGCTGTGGTGACCAGTGCACGACTCACAAACCAAAGACAACAGATCCTGATTGAACAAGGAGGATTAAGTTACCTTGAACTTTATGATAATATATTTCACCAGTCTTTTCAGTAATTTATCCATAGTATATGAGAATATGGTCAATTGTCTATGGCCCCCAGTGATAAGAGACAGGTTATCAGGGCATTGCTTCAGAAGAGTAGTTATAACAGAGAAGAAAATAACCGTTCCCATTCCTTTCCTTTTTACCAAATGTCTATGATTGTTGCGAACTTGAATAATCATGGGTGGAAAATAAAAAAAAATTAAATAAAGTAATTAATCTATGCACACAGAAATATTTTTTAAAATATTTTATTTTATATAATTCTTTCATCATGCCCCCCCTGGTGGTGCAGCGGTTGAGCACTGGGCTAAGAAGCTGCCTGCAGCCTCTGCAGCGCCGGTTCAAGTCCTGGCCATCGGTGAGGGTCCCACATGGTATGACAGACCTCTCCTGCCACCCGCTGCTCCCCTCAGCAGTGTATTTCATCAGTCTGCCTGTTCTGTTCCCTGCTCTGGCTCTAGTGAATTCTCTCATCCTTCCGTGCTTCTGACTATACCCAGTGCCTTGTATAAATAAATAAATAAATCTTTAAAAAAATATATATATAATTCTTACATCATTTTTCATCTTTGTACAATGTATGCATTTTCATTATGGTTATATTCCCCATACAATTGCACCCCCCCCTTATTTTGACTCTTGTTCTTCCTCTCCCCACCTTCCCTAATCCCCCCCCCCCCGATAGTGTGTCTCTGGTTTATAGTTGCTTGTTGATTTTGATTATTACTTTGCATTGATTAGTCTTTTTCTTGGTCTCTTATTTAGGTTTTATAAATTCCTGCTATGAGTGAGACCATCCGGTATTTTTCTTTTTCTTTCTGACTTATTTCGCTGAACATGATCCCTTCTAGCTCCATCCATGTTGCTGCAAACTGCATGTGTTTATCTTTTTTGATTGCTGAGTAATATTCCAATGTGTATATGTACCACATCTTCTTGATCCAGTCATCTATTTTTGGGCATTTGGGTTGTTTCCATAGCTTAGCTATTGTAAATAGTGCAGCTATAAACATAGGGGTGCAGGTGCTCTTTGGAATTACTGTTTCCACACAGAAATATTTTTGAAGAATGGCTTGCACATGGATATACCTTTATATTAATTCCTTAGAAGCAGTTTTATCATTTGTAATCTAAAAATATTAGTAGTCAGTATAGTTCTTAAAAATGTCTTTTCCTCAATGTTTTTAGGAAATGAGGAATATAAAGGGAAGCTTACTTTAGATCTTTAGTAATTAGAACAGCTAGTTGGTTGTGGGCTCAAAAATTAATGGCATAAAAAGCTAGAAGGTGTGATCTGTTTTATAGCTCTGTGTACATTTATCACTGGGTTAGACTATCATAAAAGAATTTGGAGAAATAAAAGGTATTGATTCTTATCAAGTCATCTTAAAATCTTTTTTTTTTTAAAGATTTATTTTATTATACAAGAATCGGGGCACAGGCCAGATGCACAGGAGGGTGAGAGGATTCACCAGAGACAGAGCAGGGAACAGAACAGGCAGGCTGGCAAAATACACTGCTGAGGGGAGCAGCGGGCAAGTCAGGAGAGGTCTGCTCACCATGTGGGTTGCTCCAAAGCTGGCGGGGATGGAACCTGCACTGCAGAGGCCATGGCCAGCTCCACAGCTGCACTCAACCCCCTGCGCCACCAGGGAAGCCCTTAAAATCTCCTTTCTGAGATCACATACTGAGGTCAGTAGTTGTTCAAATTTGTAACAAAATATCCTAAACATATAAAGTATTTTAAAATATTAATGTTTTCAAAAAGTTTTTAAAAATGTATAAATATGTCTAAAATGTTAAAATTTTAAGAAATATTTAAATATGAACTCTTTAGTTGTATAAATCTATTTTATAGATTTTAATGTACCCAAGTCATTTACATATGCAGTTTGAAAAATTTTTATTTGAATTTTAAAAATAAACAAGACCATAGCAATAATTTTCCCTGAGGTATAGTTCCTATGTAATTGCAGTCTTTCAGAATAGATAAAAATAGGTAATTTTTATATAATTTGAGAAAAAAATCTGTCCTAGTAACTGCTACAGTGTTCTCTTGACTAGTGATCTGAATATCAGTGAGAATAGTTATACCTATGGATCAATAACTAATGAGTGATTACAAATAAGTCCAAAGATAAAGGGTAGAATTAGATTTTTAGTGAAATTAATGTAGAGTTTAGATGATGCGAACCTGAAACATATAAAGTGATAATGAAATGTCATTTCAATTGTAAAAGGAAAGTAAAAGAAATGTTACCTGATTTGGGGTAGGTGGCGATCAGAAGGTCATCTGGTCGGGCCTCAAAAGTCTCTATCTGGGACCACTCCTCAGCCATACCCCAGAAGAGGGGGATCCCTTGAATATCCACCAATTCCCGCCTATTCCAGTCCTCCATGTTTTCCATTTTTGAGACTAGATTTTAAGCAAAGTAGAGAATGTTAAAAAGTTATTGTTTTAGTAGCATCAAATTTAAAATTAAATGATTAATTTATTAAATTGATAAATGACTATGCCACTGCTGGGAAACCATGATACTGGGGGGGGGTCCTTAGTATCTTTCAAGAATATAATTTCAAGAAGCACCAGAATAAAGCTAGGTCCTTCCTGATGGCACAAGGGGTTAAGTCTCAGTGCTATGAAACGATCAGTAGTCACTGTAGCATAAGTTCGATCCCCAGGCAGGGAGCTAACCCACATGGCACAGCAGACCTCTCCTGTCTTGCCCGCTTCTCCCCTCAGCAGTGTATTTCAGTCAGTCTGCCTGTTCTGCTCCCCACTCTGTCTCTGGTGAATCCTCTCACTCCCAGCACCTCTGGCTTGTACTCCAGTTCTGGTATGCATAAATAAATAAAATAAATCTTTTTTTTTTTAAAGATTTATTTATTTATTTATTTATTTATTTATTTATTTATTTATACAAGCACTGGGTACAGTCAGAAGCGCGGGAGGGTGAGAGAATTCACCAGAGCCAGAGCGGGGAGCAGAGCAGGCAGAAGGACCGAAGTACACTGCTGAGGGGAGCAGCGGGCGGCAGGAGAGGTCTGCGTGCCATGTGGGACCCTCCTCAGTGGCCGGGGAGCAGCCGGGGATCGAACTGGCGCTGCAGAGGCTTCGGGCAGCTTCGCAAGCCAGCGCTCAACCGCTGCGCCACCGGAGAGGCCCAAATATTTTTTTTTTTTTAAAGCAAGGGCCAAAGATCAAAAGAAGTAAGCATATTTCACTAATAGTAGCTATAGGACCAAATAGTCCGTTACTTTATCTAAAACAATTAGAAAAGGCTCTGTTTAATGGTAGTCCAGGGTAAGGATTTAGCTCTGTGTTTTTAGTTTCCTGCTGACCCTAGCGCTCCACTCAGGTTGTTGCTACTACTGTTCTGTGCTTTTAATATCTCTTTAATATTTGAGAGCAATTAAACCAATTAACCCCCATTATAGTCCCCCCTTTTAAGTGTTGTGTATTTTTAATCTTGAGGAATTTGAGGGCAATGACAAATCTGCACAAGCCTTAAAAAGTGCTTAACAATGTAGAAATTGAGTTATTTGATTATTTTATATAACCAAATTTTTGTCCAGAGAATATCCAGTCTATAGGTTAAAAAAAAACTTACAAATAGTTAAGCAGCATTAAATCTTGTTAACACGATGTCCATAGAAAGATATATTCTCTCCACCTTCACTCCAATTTTATCAAATGAGTACAATAAAGGAGAAAGATTCCTGTGCACTTGAAGTCAGTGTGGGCTGTCGGCTGTGGAAATGCAGCTGTGTTCCACTGGGAGTGTGTGAGTCCTTTTCTAACCCTTACACCAGGAGCATGAAATCACAGTACTACACATTAAGAATCAGTGAAGGTATGAAAAAAAATGAGATTTTGCACACTTTATTTCATATGCTATTTATATATTAAATAGCACCAAAACTTTACACTTGTGAACTGCTTCATACAGCATTTCCTTATGCAAAGATTTCTGGGATATGTTGTAAAGTGACTGGACTCTGGAGTGAGGAGAAATTCTCTTGACCACAATACTGACAATTCACTACAGTGGAATTTGAACTGCAGGTTTAAATAAAGAGAGACAATCAAAATTAAGTGAGTTTATTAAAGAAACTATATTGTGTAGTCAAGCCTGGACGCAGCCTTTAAGTATCAGGGAAAGCTGCCTGATTTCTGGCATTTAGAAATGAGAATTATATACAGTCCCAAGAAGGTTACAAGTAGCACTTTCATATTTATTTGATGCTATGCATGCATTTGAGGAAAAAAAGGGGGGCTGTTAAAATTTACCTTATCTATTTAGAGCCTTATCTTCTGGGAACTGGGAACTTTAATAATGTCACATATCTTGATGTTGATATGTGTTTTAGAGTCACTGATTTGTTGGGAGGCAGCTTTTCCAAAATGCTGCTTTTTCCAAAGACAATGTTTTTCCTGGCACAGTGTCTTCACAAGACCAGATGAGGCTCATCTTGATTCTCTATTGAGGCCCCTTACGGAGAGAGGTACACTAGCTTTGGCTAATAGAACCAACAGCTGCACTACACAGAGGCCCACCTCAGTGGACTAGGCTTGATGGTCAGCCCCAGGGCTAGCCAGGATTGAGCACCACACTGTTGCTAAAGGCTGCGGTGGTATCATCTCAGCGCACCTAACTGGGCGCACCTCCAGCTGCCACTGTGAGTTGGATCCTGGCCCACTGCTTGCTGGTGTGCCGCCAGCTCTAGTTTCTCAATGATGAGACAGCACCATTTTGCATTCTGTCTTTTTTTTGGGGGGGAACTTCTGGACATGGCGGATACTGTCTGTGGTGAGGTAGTTGGCCACTTGTGGCCTTAGAAACTCTTTGTTTCCCCTGTTTGTTAAATAAAACCTATTGTTGTTCCCTGAGGCTGACTCTTGCGATTGTGGGCACAGGTGAGAACCCACACAGAGAGTGACCTTGTCACTGTCCTTTGACCTTGCTTAAAGGACTGCTATAGACTGTTTCAGTAATACATAGTTTACAAATTTATGCAGCAGTCCTAAAATACTTTATTTTTCCCAAGCTCCTTTAATCCCTCCTCCACCAAAATAAGATTTTGGGAGTAGTAGCCATCAGGAAAAAATAATTTTAATGCTTTTAAACTTTAATTCACAATCTGATTACTTTTCCAGTTTGTGCCACCACTTAATATTTCTCATAGGTTGTCCATTGTCCTTTTTTTTCCTAACAGATTGTTCCTCAGTTTTCCATTTGCCTTATTTTGTTTCTTTCTAGTTACTGATAGCTTGTTTTTTTTCACAAGACACAGTTGGTAGACTGGCATAAAAAAAGCTGAGGTATCTGCACTCCAAATCAAGATTTTAGTTTACTTTTCTCTAATCCATTAAAAATTATCAAAATAAGAAGTGTTTGAAGCTCTTGCCACATAGTGTGTAATCAGTACTTCTAAAATAAATATTTAAAAGCTCAGTAAGATGTTGCCATGCTTTCTCAAATTTCCTCATGTCCCTACCCGATTCTGCAATTCATTCTATGATTTATAGACTCTTCACTCTCTATAACTACTTATATCAAATACATATGCTGATGAAAGATTTCTAGAAGAAATTTATGTATTTTTCCTGGGAAAATATTCCTGGAAATTCTTTAGATATTTATTCAATCTAGTAACGCTTTCCAGATTACCAGTATCTTACTTTGCCCAAAATAAATGTAAATTATATAAATATAAACCTTGAACAAATGTTAGCCTTTCAGTAGGTAAAATAGCAACAGTCTACCCAGTCATGTTCTGTACTATTAGTTCAAAAATATTTTTAATACTACTATTTAATATCTAGTAGACACTGTACATTGAAGAATCTAATGATGAGGAAAAAGTCTTGTGGTTATCTTCACAGTGCTCAGGAGTGAGTGAGAACGATAGAAACTGAAACTGATCAAATGGTCATATTAATACATTGGAATTTTCTTTCTTTTTTCAAATTTATTTTATTTTTTATGCATATAAGAGCTAGGGTGTAGGCCAGAGGATGCAGGTGAGCAGGTGATGGGAGGATTCACCAGAAACAGAGTAGGAAGTGGAACAGGAGGACTGACTAAACTACACTGCTGAGGGGAGCAGCTGATGAGTCAGGAGAGGTCTGCTCCGCCATGTGGGTAGCTCCCTGGCCTGGGATAAAAGTAGTGCTGCAGTGGCTGCCCATAGCTTTGTTGTGCTAAGACTTAATCTCTTGTGCCACGAGGGGGGCCCCAATTCATTTGAATTTTCAATGGTGATAAGTGCTATGAAGCAAAGGTATAACCGTAGAGGGAAACTGATATAATCAAAATGCTTAGAAATGTTTCTGCTGAGAAAGGAGCAAGAGTTAATTCAGAAAAGAGGAGAATCTTCTAATCAGGAAAAAACATTTTAAAGACCCTATGATAGGAGGGACAAATAATGTCTGGATGACTAAGTGCCAGCAATGAGGAGGAGCTTGCAAATATATTGCAAAATTATGTGGTAGGAAACTAGAGATTTCAGGGTATTTCTGCATAACTGCTAGGGTATATCAGGTTTCATGTAGTCTCCACCAGAACAGGAATGTCTACTGACCCATGCTTATATAAAGTTCCAGTAGCAGTTCTGTCTTTTTTTTTTTTTTTTTTTTTTTTATCTGACATTTTTTTTATTTTATTTTTTTTTTAAATATTAAATTTTATTTTTATATTCCCCCATACAATTGCAAACGCCCCATTCTGACCCCAATCCTTCCCCTCCCGCCCCCCACCCCCCAAAAAGTGTCTCTGGTTCATAGTTTTTTGTTGATTTTGATTTTCACTTTCTTATATTCATTTTCCTGGTCCCTTATTTAAGTTTTCTAGATTCCTGCTATGAGTGAGACCATCCAGTATTTTTCTTTTTCTTTTTGGCTTATTTCGCTGAGCATGATCCCTTCCAGTGCCATCCATGTTGCTGCAAATTGCATGTGTTTATCTTTTTTGAATGCTGAGTAATATTCCATGGTATATATGTACCACATTCTGTCTTAATAATAGACGACGGTGACTTACTACTGGTTCTGGGATGGTCCTGTGTATTATTGGGGGGAGGGGAGGGAACTAGGGGAGATATACAATTAAAATTCCTAGGATTTATAGATACCATAAAAATTTAGTACCAATAGATATTACTAAGTTGATTCTTTTGTTCATAACAGTGCAAATATAAATTTATGATAGCATTGGACTATGATTCAATTACATTGGTATTGCATAATTTCCTATTAATATTTTCTGATTTTCATGGACATCTGCCTTGAAAAGAAAACATAAAAAACTAAAGTTTAAAACATTCACAGTCAAGCATTGTTCCTCTAGCTTCCCAAATAACCAATTCCTATAGTATTTCTGGGAACTAATAGGTACCAAACACTATTTCAGGCAT